GTTCGCGCCGCAGCTTCTGCTCCAAGCGCGCCTCCTGCTCGCGCCTCTCCTGTTGCTCGCGCCTCTTCTGCTCCAGGCGCGGCTCCTGCTCCAAGCGCCGCTCCTGCTCGCGCCGCAGCTTCTGCTCGCGCCTCTCCCGCTGCTCGCGCCTCTCCTGCTCCAAGCGCGTCTCCTGTTCGCGCCGCGGCTCCTGTTCGCGCCGCAGCTTCTGCTCGGATCGCGGCTCCTGCTCGCGCCTCTCCTGCTGCTCGCGCCTCTCCTGCTCCAGGCGCGATTCCTGCTCCAGGCGCCGCTCCTGCTCGCGCCGCAGCTTCTGCTCGGATCGCGGCTCCTGCTCGCTCCTCGGCTGCCCCCCGCGCCTCTCCCGCTGCTCGCGCCTCTCCTGCTCCGAGCGCGGCTCCTGGCGCCCGCGCCTCTGCAGCTGCGGCTCCTCCTCCAGCCGCTCCCTCTCCAGCTCCTGCCGCTCCCGCCGGGGCAGCTGCTCCTCTTCCCGGCGCTGGCGCTGCGCGTCCTCAAGGCGCTGGAGCTCCCGCAGCGGCCGCTTCTCTCGCCCCCGCTCCTGGTCGGGAACCCGCTCGGGCGCCCGCGCCTGGCGCCTCTGCAGCGGCTCGGCCCCCTCCCCTCGGCCCGCTTCCTCCGCTTCTCGCCGTGGCAGCCGCTGCGCCAGCCTCTGCTCTTCCCGAGCGAGCTCCCTGTCGCGCTCCTGCCTCTTCTGCCTGCGCGCCTCTTCCAGCTGTCGGTCCCGGGGCTCGAACCGCCTCGGCTCTTCTTCTTGCCAGCGATCCTGCAACGGGCTGCCCTCGCCTTCACGCCTGGCGCCCTCCTCTAGCCCCGAGGCCTGGGCGAGAGCGTAATAACAAGCCTGAGCCACCTTGAAAATGAACAGCAGGAACTCTTTGAAGTCGATGAGCCCGTTAGAGTCGCGATCCAGAAGTTCCAGGATCAGATCCACCGTCTCAGGGTCATGTGGCCTCTGTGAAAAAGGTAAAAAAAAAAAAAAAAAAGTTAAGATGCACCATTTACGGGTAAACGTTCACCGACAACGTATATTTTATGACATGCCGACACCCGAACGACATTAGGAGCAATTAGAAAAACCTGCGTGTACTGAGGCTTGTCCCCATGTAAAATGTGAACACCATTTTAGAGCTGTATCACATTCGTTGGGAACTTTTGCATCTTGTAATTTAATGCCGACCAAAAGAACACAAGTTCTCTTGAGCTGGGTGGATACCAAAGCATTCATCCTCAGGAGAGAAACACTGGAAATTTCTGAAGATTCGCAGCGGCCGTTTCTGTCTGAAATAGCCAGTACCCCGGATTTGATTTTTATCCCTCGTTGGAAAACAGGACGAAACACTTATGGTGGCCCCCTTTTACCGGAGAACAGGCTGAGTTTAATGATTGAAATTTTGGAAGTAAATTTAAGCTCCTTCCAAGCCTAATTTGATCTGATGTCTTGTCATCAGGTATGTAACATACTTGCTAGCAACTTCTTTAGGTCTCGGATTGCAATGCCAGTTCAAGACCTTCAGGCTCAGAAATGAACGTATCGTACAGCTGTCATGGTAAAAAATGAGCATAAAAACACCATTCCTTGCTCTGGTTTCTCCTGAGAGGAAATTTCATAACCCTAAATCGATAGAGAGGTTCCTTTTCTTCTTATCTCTCACCTGAAGGACAGCTCCAAATTCCCTTTCAAGGAGGGTCTTCAGGTCTTTCTTGCACAGAGCTGCCCCATCACAATCGTGCGAGGCATATTGATTGAAAATCTCGGTGATATCGAAGATGCTTCTCAGAAGTGGCGACATTTTTTTTCCTTCCTTCAAGTTCAGGTAAACCTACAACGAAAAGATGGGATCCAGAATCAAAACTCTATTTCTGATCTTGGAGAGGCTATGACCACACTACTTCAGGCAGATCCCGAAATAATGGGACTTTACGACAGTAGTTATTTTCAGCCTGGGCTTTCAGAGCGCCTTATCTTTGAATATTGTACTTTGAAAAGGGAAGAGAAATCCTGAGAAATTTCAAGTCAGGGAATTATCTTCAGACTATGCTGTAGGTAGCTTTGCATCGTTCACCCAGTCTGGATTACCCATATCCTTCTCTTTTCTCTCTTCCTGCTTCCTGGCATATTTCATATCAGACAGTGAAGAGAAGAATGTAAGAATTTAAATCGGATGTGTTACTACTCATAGTATCTTCCTCTGAAGCTGAACAATGAGGACAGGTGAACGCCGACCGGTGAAGGAAGATCTGAGAGCATCTTAAAGTGGATAGAAGTCATGCACGCTTAATTGTGGCAGCAAAACATTTGCTGGTAACTTGAACAATAAAAAAGGAATGTATATTATTTCCCAACATTATAGTTCATAAGAGATCGGGGAGTATAATTCATAAGTCACCAGTTCTAAGATTAAGCGCTACTTTTTCCTAGTCAAAGGTAGCATCGTACTCTTCAGATATACCGATGCAGAAAACAGTGGGCATGTCGTCTGCCTTAACTCTGATGTGTTACAGATATTCAGTTATTGAGAGCTGCTGAGAGGTAGTTCCTGACTGGCTACCAGAGTCGATGGGTCATACTGAACCTGAAAAACTTTGAACAATATTGGACTTATGGTTAGCTTTTGTCAAACCCAAATAAACCATTTGAATCTTGGCCTTATAAAAAACAGGAGTTAGCCAAAAGCAGATCCATGTGAAAAGAATCCCTGGAAGGCTTCACTGGCTGGGGGAGTATCCCGGTTCATCTAGCTGGCCTCTCGAATTACTTCTCAACTCCAACACCTCAGGTGGCATAACTCCATGAAGATGGCCCATATCGGTTCTAGGTTTTAGGAAGAGGAATCCCATCAGAGTCATAGGTGACCGTGCTCCAACCCCTGACAAGCAAACAAACTTGCAGAGTTCAGAGCCTTGGGAGGAGAGCCATGTCTCCATTTGAGTGATGACTTCAGCCATAAGAACATGGCATGGAGTTGGTGGGGGTTAGACATCCTATAACAGCCTGATGTCTTGTGGCACATAGACCCTCGTTGCCCTCACCCCTCCAACATCTACGATAGCTGGAAAATGAAGAGTCGCACAGAAGGACACGCTCCCACCGCATGGGACTTACCCGCGTCACCAGAGGGAGATGTCCAGTGCTCGCCGACACCACTGGCAAGTGTGCTGGGCAGCTGGGAGCCGGGCCTTTTATAAGGGTTTTAATTGTGCCCCGAAGACCAACTTGGGAAGGAGACACCCACTCTGTGGGATGGCCTGATTCATTCATTCCTCACCAAGCCCAGCTCCGCCTCTGTCTCCGCAAATGGCTTGTTTATCTCACTATTTGCTCACGTAGCTATTTGGCACCAGGTTCACAGAATTTGCCTCCTGACAGTTAGGGTGCTGGCCCCACCTAACATGAAAGGATAGAATGTTTGACAGATCTCTAATTTTCTTTAATTGTTAAAATTAAAACAAAAAAATAATAAAAGAATTAAGGTTCAGAATCTTAATTAATTATGACTTCATTATAAAGTAGTAACCTCTAAGCCATTTACTTTACAAAATATTTTAAGTTTTAGGTTGGGGTTAAACAGAAAACTTGGTATAAACTGATGAGAACCAATTACTTTTTCCCTGGGATATGACAGTTCATGGGGAGCTGCTTTGGCCCAGCCTGGTAATAATTGAGTTTAGTTTCTTCTCTAAAAAAGCAGGTGGGAAAAATTGCATTTGTATTCTTGGGCCTTAGGACGATTTTCCTATAGATTGGGATTGCCTCCTTAGTGAACAGGTTGGAAGGATGCTTTAAAATACGTTTCATTACATCGTTCCTAAGTGAACTCGAGGTCTGCAGAATTTCATTCTTAGGGCTCTTGCATCTAAACGAAGTTCGCTCTTTTCTCGTTAGCGCGTCATTGCCCCTGGTGGAGAAGAGCTGGCGTAATGTGTTGTTGTAGATACAATCGCAAGTTGTTAATGACCCTGACACCGAAACCCTTGACTCGGCCTCTTCTGGAAGCACGTTAATGTCATGGGTCACTCTGGCCCATTATATCTGTCAGGGCTTTCTCAGCCCTGGTGACCATTTGCAAATCTCAGCGCTGTTTTATTGCAAGGAACTGGATTTGATCCCTGGTTGTCAGCGGCTCCCAGCCTTCCGTTTCAGACCGTATGAAACTTTGATTCACGCACACACACACACACACACGATAGATTTATGGAGACTGTTAAATGATTCAGTGGCTTTCAACATTTCTGTCTCTTCCATTGTCCAACAGAGGCAGGTACTGGTTTTCTGAATTTTGCAGAGACTGTGTTGGGTCCTTCAATGGAATGTAATTTGGAACCTAAATCTCAATGGCTATTCCTTTTGCGTGCAGACTGATCCAAATGATAGTGGAGTTAAATTCTATTTGACCCCTCCCTGCTGCCCCCCACCCCCGAGGTGGGGTGAAGGGCAAGTGGGAGCGACAGGTTTTCTTTGAAGGCAGCTGTGAGCTTAGCTCACTTCTGTGTCCTTAAGGATTTCAGCACCGAGGCCTGGGACCTCGGGGTTTTACTGTGGCTGTTTCTTGGGATTGGTTAGCGAACTTGATGTAGCAGCTCCTTAGTGAAGACTGAAGATTTCTCTGTTTTTTTCTGTTTATTTTTCCCCTCTTCTTTTTAGGATTTTCTATAGTTCTCTTAATCTTTGAATTCTAGAATAGACCATCATGAGCACTGCAACCACAGATCACCATGGAACCTCCATCTCTCACAGAGGATACTAGCCTTTTTTATGAGTGTCCTTCAAGGAAGTCCCTGGACAAAGCCTGCCCTGTGTCTGATTCTGTTTTTACCCACCTGTGTGTGGCCCAGGTGGTGGGGTGCCTTTGTGTGATTCCATTACCTTTTTATAGTCAATGCACTCAAGGGGACTGGACACTTCTTAGCTTCTATGAGCACAAGGGGAAAATATTAATCATTCTAAAATCATGTTTGAGCAAGCAAAACAAATATAGAACCAAATTCCAAAGGAAAACGCTTCTAAACGGCCTTGAGAAAATGGCTGAATTTGCACTCAGAGTAACAGAAAAACTTCCCTACGCTCAGTGAGGCGAGGTCTTAGATCCGGTGATGTTTCTCTTACCCACCCTTGTTTAAAGCCGGTACGGTGTCAGGGACAGTATTTAAAAATGTGAACAAACCTAAGAGAATTAGCCTGTCTTCCTTCCTTCCTTCCTGTCTTTCTTGGTACATCATCAGAAGGATCGTAAGTAGATTCCAATGCTAACTTCTAAAATCGGATTTGATATTCTCCTAATGAAGTGGCCCTATATGATGTCCCTTTGTTTCACACTATCGTTACTTAAAAATATTTTAGAAGGAGCTCCTGACAGGATGTTTGGACAGGGAAATAATTTTCATTGCTTTCTAGTTCCTTAAATGGTTGGTAAATGCCAGAGAAGGTAGAAAATCATCAAGACTAACATATTGGCTCAATCTATTTTTTTTTTTTGAAGACCAACTGAGAATCCTTGAAATATGGCAGTGTCATTCATTGTGGTTCATCAGAAAGGAATGGTGTTTTTATAATCTGAGGATCTCCATATTCTTTATAGACAAAAAGTCTCATTATCTTTTTTTTTTTTTTTTTATAAGACTGGAGACTGAGGTGCTGAGTAGTCAGAGAACATTCTTGACTGGCCCAGGAAGAACCCAAGTGCCTCTGTTCCATTCTGCAAGAATGTTTTATTAAGGGTTAATGCCAGTGGGTCCAGAACATAGCTACAGTACTATACTGTTACTTGGCTGTGAGACACGAGCTCTTTATTTCAGAGGAATCGAAAGAGAGAAAATAAAATTTATATCACTCGGAAGCTTGAATATTATGTCGATCATGAAGCCTCATCCCTAATCTCTGGGAGTGGAGCTCCGCTGGGTGAACAAACAGAGAACTAAGGTTTACTGGTCTTAATCACATTCAGAGGCTCCCCCTCCTCCCCATTTTCTCCTGTCAGAACCCAGAAAAAGTATAATAGATTTGACATTCTGTGGTATTCTGCCAGGACCAAACCCTGCCTTGGCTTTATTGGAAAATGACCAAGGTGAACATTTGGATAAAGCTGAGAAGGCACCGGTGGAACCCTCAGCCTAATGGGCTTCTCCAGAACCCTGTACGAGCCATGATGTCAAAACCTGGGAAAATGTCCAAATTAGATGCCTAAGATGGCTTTAAAAAAAGTAAGATTCTTTGGTAAGCTCTCTAAACACCTCTGCAATGAAGACTTTTTCTTTCAAATTGTGTGTTAAACCTTTTAAGTTTTTCTGTTGTTTCTTCTTCTTCACTGACCCACCCCCGGGACCCCACCTCTGCCAGTCCAAAACCTAATATATATTTTTTGAGGCCCCACACCAATTCCATCATCTCTCCAGGACCTTCTTTGACCTTTACATATAATGACCTTCCAATTCGAAAAGTTTTTTCCCGCAGCATGCAAAGTCAGCATCATACGACCTTGCACGAGATAATGCGCAATTTCCATAGTTCCCCGTCATTTAATGGGTGCTTGTTTTGTCTTCTCAATTAGGTTTTAAGTTCCTTGGAGGCAATGCTGTATCTTTTATTTCTCTGCGGTGTTTAGTAAAATCCTCGCTGATATGATGTAATTTTATTGCACTGTGGCACTTTAAACGGCCAACAAGTCAGAACGAGATGAGTCGCTTGATCCGGGATGGCGTTCCAGGGTTTGGGGTGATGGCCTGGGGATGAGGGCGCACACCGTCATGCGAGTCAGCCCTCCTGGGGCCTCTTTCTGGTTTCGCCACTTGCAGGACAGATGACAGAGGCGGCATCACCCCACGCCTCTCTGCCTTCCCCGTGCCCATCGCTTCACCCCTCTGTGAAACGAGGAGCTGTGAGATATGAATCCGTTCCTCCGGGGGGGCTGTGATAATTATAGCTTGTAAAGCACTTTGTGACTCTTAGATATAAAAGGGCTCATTACTATGGCCATTAATAATTCTTAATTTTTATCTTCTTCAAGGTAAATTACCCTTACTTTAATTATACCCCCACCCTGGTGGTAATTATACCTCTGAGAGTCAGCAGATGCTTTCAGCTTACATCATGCCAACAGGGTGACTGGGCGCAGGCGAGCACGGGAGAGCACCCCCACCTCTGCCCGCTCCCACTGTCACCAGAGTGGCAGAGGGCTCTTGGCTTTCTAAACTGGTCACAGATGTCAAGTGATTTGTCTTCTCTGTTCCTAACTGTATCTTTACTGTGTCTACCCAGCATTTCTTCAATTTCACAGAGCTTTGGGATTTGTCAAACGACGCACTGCATGGGAAAAACGAGTTTAATTTTCGTCTTCTGACGAACACTCTGAATGAAGGCGGCAGGCATCTTTGGCTGGGCCGTGGGGACCGTGGTATCCGTTATAAAAAGGTCCACGGCCGCCACGTACAGGAAGGGCCGTCGCTCCGCAAGGGTAGAGGTGCTGTGTGGCATGTTCTCTTCTTGGATTTAGATCTGTTTCCAGTAGAACGCTGAGTCACTCTTTGGGGTGAGGTTAAGAGGATCTGTATCTAAAGAGCCAAAAAGAACAATTTTTTTGAGAGAGGTGTTGCTTCTGAGAATGGGGCATCGCATCGAGGGGGTGGGAGCTGCGGCTTCACACTCGGTGGACGCTTCAGGCTGCGGGAGTCAAGGGCACGGCCGGCCTCCCAAATACGGAAAGAGCACTTTGAGGACAGGTGGGCGAGTGGCAGCCTGGCTCGGAAGGTTTTCTCCAGGCTGGACGTCCAGCTGTCGCCCGTGTCGAGGTCTAGTCGGCGAGTCCTAATCTCAGGGGTGTCAGCCCCCCGAAGCCCACCCTGTGCCTGGAACAGGTGTGGAGGGGTGTGAGTGTGTCAGTGTCGTAGCTTTCATCCCGACCCTTCCCCTTGGGAG